ATATATATATATATATTTCATCCACATAAAGAAAAAGATCATTATCTTTTTCATCGTTGAGCTGATCAACCTCAACCTTTAAGACCATGAACTTGAAGATTACAACTTATCACTAGATCATAAAATTAACCCTATATTTCAGCTTTTGTTCCAAAGTATGTTGTTGGTATGAAAAGTAGTAACAAGTATATCTGTAGTTCTCTCCTTTTGTTTTTGAATTGTACCGAAAGTGAAACCAACGGCACTTTGTGTGAAGTGAGCCATTTCAACAAATGCTCCATTAACCATAAAACTGTGCGTGTAAATTATATGGAGAGCCATTATGGCGAGCATTATCTTGCGGACAATGATATTGTGCCCGTTTTCAATTGTTTGTGTTGTTAGGTAATGTGAATTTGAACCATAGTGCTCACTATAGTTTATATATCCATCTACACCTACTACCAGAGAGAGTACTCTTTGAAACATTGTTAAATTTCTTGGGGGGACACACTCACACACGAGTTATATTGGTCTTCTCTCAATCATAACAGGGCTAGTGCCTAGTTGTGTGACCAAAAACCATAATTACCATCGCCGAGTGCCACACACTAATAAAAGAAAGAAAAAAAAAATGAAAGTAACAAAACAATTACTATGCATTGGCTAAATTAGAAAGCCTCAAGTGGGCAAACAAGAGGGAGAGATAAGAGCACAATAACTTGACAAAATCATAAGAAGTATACCATAAAGTTAATTTTTCTAAGAATTTGAGTTTCTAAGGACAAACCTCTATAATCTAGCTTCCTTTCATGAGAAGAAGAAGAAGAAACACATTAAAGTTGGCCACTTGGCTAGCTAGCTAACTACTAAACTACACCCCTTACCTTTTTTTCTTGGAGCCCACTATCTTTGTTTGTGAACAGTGAAACACAGGTAACTGAAGTATAAATATCATCGAAAATTGAGTTTTGCCTCAAGTCTTCTCTACTACATTTATTGCCTCTCTATCTTGTTCAAAAGAGCTGTGATTAGAGCATCCCTCTTCTCAGCCCTAGCTTCTTCTCTAATCCTCCTTTGTTCCTCCCTTTCTCTCCATCTCTCTTCCATCATTATCCTCTCACTCTCCAACACCTCCATGGCTTGCCTCCACTCCATCTCCTTCAACCTCCTCTCATTTTCCCTTGCCTCAAATGCTTCCATCCATTGTGCTTCTATTTGAATCTGTTGCCTCATGAACTCCTCCAAAATCTCCTTTAAACTGTTCAAACTACTACTACCGCTGCCACCACCACCACTAGCTATCTTTGCCTTTTTCTTCTTTCTGCCACTACCAGCCTCAATACTCTCTTGATCATTGCCATATTCTTCTTCATCGGACGAGAGTGGCGTCGTCGTCTTTTTCTTCTTCGATCCACCCTCAGCTTCAGCCCACAACATTCTTTGCATCCTTGAGGTGAAAATCGCATTGAATTCGTTATAAAATGGGAATTGCTGTCTCATCGCTTCTTGCTCCATTGTTTCAAATCCCTTCATATCTCAAAACAAAAAGAAAAAAGGTACCATTTAGTTTATATAAATAAAAAAAAATGGAATAACTACATCTTAGAACTTATATATCTCAAACACCCTCAAATTCTTAACTATTTTATTGAAGTTTATGAAACTCATGTTATTTTTGTAATCAACCCCCACCTTTATCATAATAGCAAAATGTTAATTTATGAGATTTGCTATGGTACTCAAAGAAATACAAGAGTTTAGATACAATTATTTCTTAAAATTAATAGTTGAAAGTGTTTGAACACGTAACAAGAGAGAGGAAGAGAGTTTTTCAATAGTAATATAGACAGATTTGAACTGTTCTTCACTATAGAATTTCTAGGATGAAGTGCTAAGGTGGTGATTTTTTCTTCTCAACATGCATGAATTTCTGATCAAACTCGGTCAAGATCACATATATAAAATATTTGAACTATTTCCACCCGCACCAATTTGAAGAAATCATGGACTTTATAATTTTATTTGATGAGTTTGATGAACATATAGAGAGATGAATAAAAACATACCTTATAGCGTGTAACAAGGTTTTTCCACTTGCACTTGCACTGTTCTGCACTTCTATGGTAACCCTTTTCCTTCATTCGGTTGGAAATCACTTCCCACAACTGCTTGTTCCTCTTTGTCTCCATAAAAGTCTGATCCAGCTCTGCGCGGATCAGGAGAAACTCCTTTGTCTCTTGGATGCTCCATTGAGGAAACCTATCACTCCCATCCACGTTCACACTCATATTCTGAGGATGAAGCCGTTGTTGTTGATGATGATGGAGATGATGACCCTCCATTCAAATCGAAGAAAAGTTTATGACTTGAATCTCTAACGAGCAATTTCTAGAAAGAAGAAGCTAGTTTCCCCTCTGATTTCACAGGAGAAAAAAAAAAAAAGAGAGATTTTTCTTTGGGGAGAGAGAAAAGAAAAGAAGGGTTATATATGGGGTGGTGGGAACACGAGAAGCAACAGTAGTGTTGTAAATCGCGTTAAGAGGAAAAAGAGAGATTGAACAAGGGTTTCTATTTCTGCAACAGTTTCTTACTTTCTTTATCAAAACAATAAAAAAAATCTGCTACAGTTTTTCTCGTTCAGATAATTCGTAACACGTTAATCAACATGATATGCTGTTTGTTTTGAACTAATGAAAAAGTTGGGCAACATCATTAATTTTTATTTAATCTATGGTTTTAACGACAGTCAAAGTCTAAAGAGATTTTCAGAGAAAAAAAAATCATATTTGTTTGTTTGCCTATCATTTTTGCTACATTATTTTTATATATTTCCATATCAGATAATAAAACGAGGATCATGTATAGTTTACTATTTTTCATTAAAAAATTAAAAAATGCAAACAAAAAAGTTTTGTCGTGTGCAAATAAGAATCCTAGCAACATGTTTTAAAAAAGTTGATCATTGTAAGTAAATTATTAATAGTCTCATTTTTTATAAGTAATCTAAATATCTAATTTAATCACTCGTTAGATCTTTTCTCTCCAATTTTATTGAAGGAATTATATTATATAGCATTTACATATCGTCTTCAATTATGGACGATCAATTGATAATGAGGAAAATCCAACATGACCTTCTCGTGGGACATGCTTCAGTCTAAAATAATGTTTATCCACTTTCCTATATTTGGACGAACAATCTTAGATGATTTTCAACATTAAACAAAACATTTTTTGTTCCCCACTTATTATTTTATTAAGTATATTAATGAGATTAAGACATTTTATATCTCTATTAAAAATATATTAATACAATTGATATTGTAGTTTGTTTTTAAATTTAAGTTTTAAATTTGATAAAAAAAATATTAATTTTTTAATTATAAAAAAACATATTGACTTATCAAACATGAAGACAAAAGTGATTATTAATAGTATAGATATAAAAAGTTATTGTATTTATTTTTGTTCTTGTGTTATTTAGAATGATCGTTGGTACGCAGAGTCTGATCTGTCTACGCGGAAACTTTGTTTTGTGTCTCTCTTCAACTTTTTTTGGTTTGATGTTCCCATTGCGTCTACGTATCGTCACGCTGACCAGTGGCGCCACATTTATTCTCTATGACCATGACCACACATTACTTTGATGCTAAGCTATTCTTTCTTTCTATTCCTTATTATGGGTCATGTAATTTTATCACAACACTGTGACCAGTATAGACCCATGTCGACTATTAATTAACTTCTATTAAAATGTTGATTAGTTATTTTTTAGTGGAGTTTTTCTTTAATCACATTTTTCTCTTACAAGAATTGAATTTAAAATCTTAAATCATTTCTATGAAAGGTTCTTTTAGGAGTTCAATAAGATTTGTTCTTATATTTTGTTTACCATTAAAAGGCAATCACATGAATTCACGTGTAGAATCGAGTATTCTATAAGAACTTAGTAAAATATGAAAAGCCCCCAAAGTGCGAGGACCATTTTTGAGCTCATTTAAAGTTACTTAAGAACCAAAATTTAATTTTTCATTAAAATATAAATAGAAAAAGTTCTTTAAATCTTATATAACATTGAGATTTTTTTATTTCATATTAGTTTTTCGTCTTAAATTAATCTAATTTGAGTAAGAGATAAATAAATATAAAATATTCAATAAAAAGTTGATTAAGAATTCAAAATGAGTTTTATCGTTAAAGATGTTGTTATTTAAAAAGACCAACTTCGATTCTACTTAGACTAATGAGCGGTTGGTGTACTGTGATTATTTGTTAATAAAAACCAATTGATGTTTCAGAAATACATATATTTTTGCATAGGTATAGTAATCTAAGTAGTACGACATTGTATAGGATTCACATGGATGGGTCTTATGTATTGAAAATTAAAATATTAATTGTTAACAAGTCGAGGAAAAAATTTATCATATGTTGGAAAATGTACAAAGAATGAACATGTAATGATGTAAATACATAAAATACATGGTTGGATATACGGTGAATATTATAAAATAATTTCACGTAGTTGAAAATAAGTAACACATGACTCAAGAAAAGAAAAAAACAATTTTATGGTCAAGAATTTTCGAATTACAATGTAAATAAAAGTATGTAAAAACAAAATTATTCGTAAATTATATTAATTAGTAGAATGTCTAGCTCTTCAAGGCGGTGAAAATAGCTAAAGGATTTTTGTATGTGGGAGGGTATTCTTGTGTTGTGAGAAGGACTCAAACTTGAAATACAGTATTGGAAATTTATGACCATGGTGGGTCCCATATGAAAACATATATAATCAATATAATCATATATGCTATGACAAATATAATAATAGTCGGCAATGTAAAACTAATAATTGTAATGGTACGTATTGTTCCTATTTATTAAAGTCACTTACATAAAAGAATTAATATTGTAAAAATGCAATGACACTTGGCATAATTGTAAGACCCCCTTCCCTCTTTTTTTCCCTTCGTTCACTTCCAACCACTCCAACTCTCTCTTCTTCCCTCTCATTCTCCTTTCTCTGAAATTGGTGGCTTAGGTGCTGAGCTAGAGGCAGGTGGAATTAGTTGAGAGTGGTGCTTCTTTTCTCCTCCGAACAAGCTCTTTCTTCTTCTTCGTTCAAGCTCCCGGAACTCGGAATTTTCACCCGAGGTAAGGGAAGCTAGTCTTTTTGTTTCTTCTTCGCTAATTTTGGCTGTGGACGAGTTCTAAAAACTCATTAGATGCTTGTTGTTGGATGATTCGTGGCTGTAGTGGAAGGAAACTTGTTTTTGTTGGGGTTTCGGGGTTGTTGAGAAATTTGGGGAAAAGCCTTGATTTGTTGTTGCATGTTGAAAAAGGTGGTGTTTTTGAACTCTGGGTTGATAATATAGTAAATTGAACCGATTGCATGTGGGGTTCTTTTATTATTCTACAGATTTTTGAAGAGTTTTTCGAAAATGGTTGGCTTCTGCTCAGCTTCGCGCTGAGCGCGGTTCTTGTGGCAACCAGGAGACCCCATTTGGCCAAGCTCGCTGAGCGCAATGATGAGTGCGCTGAGCGCGCTTGAGAATGTGGGTCTTTGGCTGGCTCGCGCTGGGCGTGACTTGGACCGCGTTGGGCGCGATACTAGTTGTGGCAGGTTTTGGTTCTTCTTTTGGGCGCTGAGCGCGCCCCTTGTCGCGCTGGGCGTGAGACTCCTCAGGAGTCTCTGCCTTGTGGGCGCTGAGCGCAAATTTAAATTGCGCTGGGCGCGAGACCAAGGGAGGTCTCTGCCTTCCCCGCGCTGGACACGGGTTTTGGTGCGCCGGGCGCATGAGACTCCTTGAGTCTCTGCCCGGCCAGTGCTGGGCGCAAGGACTATTGCGCTAAGCGCGAGATAGTCTTGGGTTCTCTGGTTGAGTCCCGCTGGGCACGTGCATGCATGCGCTGGGCGCGCTAGCCCCCTGGTGCTCTCTGGTTGCGCGGAAGAACACCAGTGCGAGTGTACAAACTAATATATTGATTTATCTGCAACCCAAAATAACACATGTAGACATGTCATCCCCAGTTAGACATTTCATATAAATCTTAATGTTCAGAATGAATTGAAAGGGCATATTGCTTCTAGTAGATGTACAGCACGCCAGACCTTTAAAGCCATAAAACTTGCAACAATAAGCATATTTATATATGTTTTATACTGATATAGCCGCTCTGAGGGAGAAAGTAGAGGCTAGAGTGGCTGGTGCGGTGGCTTGGAGGGAGAAAGTAAAGTGCTTGGTCCTGGAGTGTGAATGAGATTTGAAAATAAAAACCCTAATTGTTTGCTTGCTCAGCATAGCCTTTTAGAACAATATTTGAAATGTTGATTTTTTTAAAATAATTTAACCGGGGACGGGTATTTAACCGGGGATGGGGATGGGGACGGGGACGGGGACGGGGCGGGTAAGTATATACCCGTCCCCGTACCCGATTTCTTTTATCGGGTTTTACCCGTACCCGGTCAAAGCGGGTATTCCCTGTCAAAGTCGGGTTCAGGTATTACCCACGGGTACGGGTTTATTTGCCATCCCTACTTCTTATCAAGGTACGGGAGAAAAGGGGAGATTTATGTGTAGAGTTACATGAGGGAATGGGTGGAGAAGAGTTCCTGTGAAATTTTTAATAATTTTATAATTGTTTCTGTTTGGAGAATTATTGGTATTATGAGATTATGTATGTGTTTAAGATTAGGAATATGTAAATAATTTGTAAAAATGATGATTTGAGAGAGAGAATGAAATTGTAGAAAAGTATTTGTGAGTTAGGTTTTGAAAAAATTAGGAGTTTTACTGTTTAAGTTAAGATTCTATTAAATTGATAATTCAGTTGAATATTATATTAATTTATAAATGTTATTGTTATATTATATGGTAAAAGTTGATGATCTAGATGTGGATTCATGGTGAATTGCTTGAGGGGTATGTGAACCACTATTTTGTGTGGACTTATCTATTTTGTGTATGTTGTGTGGAATGTGAATGTGATGTGATTGTGATTCCTCACATTTATGTCGGGGGTGGCACGACCTTGGGCAAGAAATGCTACAGGTGTGACCTCGACATAGTGTAGGATGTGTGATTTCTCATGCTTATGTCGGGGGTGACACGACCTTGGGCAAGAGATGTTACAGGTGTGACCTTGGTATAGTGTGGGATGTGTGAGACAATTAATACTTATGTCGGGGGTGGCATGACCTTGGGCAAGAAATGCTACAGGCGTCACCTTGGCATAGGGTTAATTGCAAGATTTGTGATGAATTGATGTGATTGTGAATTGAGATGTGAAGATGTTGCATGATTGATAGAATTAGGATATATAGAAATGTTTGTAAATATTTCATTAAGTAATGAGTTATGATGAGACAATGTTGTGGATTTTCCTTATGTGCTTTACATATAGATGTTTTCTTTTCTCATCGTATAATTTATGGATATTTTAGGTGAGGAAGATCCGGCTATGAGTGGCATCTAGAATGCCAACAGTTGAATTG